TAAAGGTACTTCCTCGGAATCCCCATGGGTAGACACATCCTAGATTTGGAGTTAGATGCCTTGGGTTCATATCCTGACTTTGCCGCATTTACTACTTGTGTGACCCTGGGCATGTCCTTTTTTCCCCCTAGGCAATAGGGTTAAGTGACTTGCTCAGGGTCACACAGGTAGTATCTGAGGCTGGATTTGAACTCAAGTCCTCATGATTCTAGGACCGGTGCTCCATCTGCTGTGCCACCTAGCTGCCCTGGGCATGTCCTTTCAATTCCTTAGGCCTCAGTCTCCTCATCTGTAAAAAGAGAGAATTCAGCTAGGTGATCCCTAACTCTATCATTCATGCAATCATCAGATTGTAGACATGGAGTTGAGAAGGACTTCAAAAGGTATCTGGCCCAACACCCCCTTCTCCCATTGTAGAGATGAGGAAACTGAGTTCAACAAGTATTTCTTACTTGCAAGAGCAGTAGGGGGAAAAATGCAAAACCAGAAACAACCCCTGACCTCAAGGAGCTACATTGTACTGGGAGAAAGCAACATGTTTGTCAAGAAGTGAATACAAGGGGCAGCTAGGTGGCGCAGTGGATGGAGCACCAGCCCTGAAGTCAGGAGGACCTGAGTTCAAATCCGGCCTCAGACCAAACACTTGACATTTACTAGCTGTGTGACCCTCTTGCCTAAAAATAAAAAAAAATTTTAAAAAAAGAAGTGAATACAAACTATGTAAAAATAGGAGAGGATGCTAATGATGTTTGAAAGCTGTGAAGATAGGCGCTATGTCCAAGGTCCAAATGAGCCCTGAAGGAAACTCAGGATTCCAAGAATCAGGAGTGAGGCAGGAAAGCAGGCACTCCAGGCATGGGACACAGCCTATGCAAATGTATGGAGGCCAGAAGAACTGAGTGACATGAACAGTTAGTTTGGTTGGAATAAGGAGTGACTGAGATGAATGGGAAATCAGTTCAACAACCTACTTTTATTAAACTTTACACAAAGCAGGTCTGCCCCTTGGGCACCTTGTATAGATAATTCTACCCCGAAATTCCTCTGAGGGATATATTGGCACCTTCTTTTCTGTCAGTGAGTCAACAAGTATTTATTATGAGCTTCTCATGTGCCGGGCACTGTATTAAGCTCTGGGAATACAAAGAAAGGCAAAAACACTGCTCCTGCCCTCAAGGAGCTTACATTCTAAAGGGGGAGACAACAGGTAAATAATATGGTTCATACAAGATATCAGCAGACCAGGTGGATGCCGGTGTCGGAGGGAAGGCACTAGAATTAAAAGAGGGAGGGAAAGGCTTCTTATAGAAGGTAAGATTTTGACCCGGGTCTTGAAGGAAGCCTGGGAAGGCTGGAGGCAGAGATGAGGAAGGAGGAAGGCATTACAGGCATGTGGGACAGCTAGTGCAAATGCCCTGAGTCGGGAGGTGGAGTGCCCTGTTTGGTTCATAAGAGTTCATGGAAGGTAGTCAGGTGTGAGAAGAATGCAAAGGTAGAAAGGGCCAGGTTGTAAAAGCCACACAGTGATTTTAGATTTAATCCTGGCAGTCACAGGGATCAGAGGACAGGGAGACCTAGTGTAAAGATATCAACACAATAAGTAACATTTATTGTTATTAGTCAGTCAGCTAGTGTTTATGTAGCACGTGCTATGTTCCAAGCTCTGTGCTCAGCATTGGGAATACAAAGAAAAGCAAAAAAAAAAAGCAAAATAATTCCTGTTCTCATGGAGCTCAGAATCTAACGGCGATTATTATTATTAATAACAGCTATCATTTATATAATACTCTCAGGTTTGCAGAACATTTTACATATATCAGCTCATATCAACCTTCTGAAAAAAAATACCGTAGTCAGTCACTAAACATTTATTAAGTGTCTACTATGTGCTAGCTAGACACTGCTCCGGATAGTATTATTTTCATTTTACAGATGAGGAAACTGAGTCTCCAAGTGGTAACGTGACTTGCCCAGAGTCACCCAGCTGGGAATTGTCAGTGATGGGATTTGAACCCATCGTCCTGACTCGAGGTCCAGCACTGTCTCCTCTACACCAGGATGCCTAATTGGGCGGGACTAAATTGAATGGGAGGTTAGCTTCACGGCCCCTCCAGCCCCAGAAACTGGGACACCAAGGGGGAATGTGCAGGATGGCCGAGTTTTGTCTTCAACTATTGCATCCATCCCTAGTACTCGGCACCAGAGAAGACAAGTTAAAGTTAGGTCGGAGACTGAGGCAGAAGGCCAGGGGAATGAAATGTACAAATTACAGAGTGAGTGCCTTAGATGGGCCCAAAAGAGAATGTAATTTGAGGGAATCCAGACCCCTGGGGAAATCTGAAAGATTATCAGATTCGCAGTTCTGAGGGACTTTAGAGAGAGAGGTCAAGTCTAACCACAGCTATTTTCCAGAGGAAGAAGCGGGGAAATACCTTGGAATGGCAGGGCTACAAGGTGTCATAATAAGGATAGGGGCTGGACCTAGGATGTTATTATTCTGGGGAACTGCCAGGTGAGGAAAATCCCTCTCCTGATACAAGTTGGCACCTCTTCAACTTGAGATAGTGGAAGGTTAACTGAGCTGTTAAGCATGTGAGCTCTGTGACTTGCCCAGGGTCCCACAGCCAGGAAGCTCAGAGGTAAGACTTCAACCTTGGTTTTCTTGTCTCAGAAGCCAGTTGTCTAACCCCTCTGCCATACTCTCTGACATTTCGATGGCACCTTAAAGTTAGCAATGTGCTTAATGGACGTCATCTCAGAACTTCACTGTAATCCTAAGTATCTACTGTAATAGTGGATAGAGCACTGGCCTTTGGAATCAAGAAGAGCTCAGATTCTGCCTCAGATAAGACACTAGCTGTGTGGTCCTGAGTAAGTCACTTCACCCCCTCTCTTTCTCAGTTCCCTCATCTGTAGAATGGGGCTAATAATAGCACATCCAATACAGGATGATTGTGGGATCAAATGGTATAACATAGATGTAAGGTACTTTGCAGACTCTCAGGTTGGTTGTTATTATTGCTGTGGTTATTGCAGGAGATGGTAGAAAGAGGGTAGAGAATAGAGACTGTCAGATCTAATATTGTCCAATTATAGAATTGACTACAGAGTATAGAGACCATGAGGGGGATGTGAAATCAGGCTGGAAATCAGGAAGTATCTGATCATAAATCAGAGGAGCAGAGATTTAGAAGGAACCTTAGAGACCATCAAATCCAGCCTCCCTTCTTTCCCCTACATTTGACAGATAAGGAAACTGAGGCACAGAGATTTTTTTTTTTAAGTGACTTGCCTGGGGAGGGGTGAGAGAAGAGGGATCATCACATAGCTAGTGAGTGCCTGGGTCAGAATTTGAGCCTGCGTCTGCCTAACTCCCTGTGCAGTGCCCTTTCTACATTCCCCCACCCCAAACACACTGTGACAATTTAAAAAAAGTCCCAAGAGACATAATTTCTGGATAATTTAATCATTTTATTAGTAAGGCAAACATGTTTATTAATAAAATGATGGTCATTTGGCCATGTCTCTTAGACCTTTGAGGTATCACACACACACACACACACACACACACACACACACACACACACACACACACGCACGCGTGCGCACACACCCTTGTTATAATTCTGTCCCTGATAATTCCTCTAGAAAGATTTCTTGGCCTTCAGCTTGGAGGCATTTTCTTTCTCTCTCTCTCTCTCTTTTTTTTTTTTTGCTCTAGGCAATGGGGTTAAGTGACTTGCCCAGGGTCACACAACTAAGTAAGTTTCTGAGGCAGGATTGGAACTCAGGTCCAATACTCTTATCTGCTGTACCCACTCCTCACTGGCTACTTCTGAAAAGGGGTCCCTCAGCTTCTTCAGACTGCTAAAGGATTCTGTGACCCCAAAATGGCAAAGGATCCATGCAGTTGAGGAAAGAGGAAGGTGGGGTGTCTGGCATAGGCCACTCCAATCCCATCCTTCCAGGTCCTAGCACACCTTTTACGGAGGAATGCCTGACAGGCCAGGTGAGGCTGAGGCCCCTCCCCAGTTAGCAGCACTCTCCTGATTGGGATCACTCAGGAAGGGCAGAGGAGACTGGGATGATAATTACAGAGCAGCTGCTCCTGGGCACTGCCGGCCAGACACAGACCCTGGCCAGTTTCAGAGATTAGACAGAGCATTGTGTATGTAAATCACCACAGAGAGGCAGAGTGCGCCTGCACATGGGCATGTTCTGAGCCCAGCTTTCTCTGCCTGTCCTCATCTTATTCCAGGCTGAAGCAGACACAGCTGTTGGCTCCAAAGTGTCTTTCAGCTTCTGCCAATATTTATGAAGCACCTCCTAGAGGCAGAAGGAATAACTAAAATGCTGGACTCAGAACCAGGAAGCCCTGAGTTCAAATCCTACCTCAGGCACTTAGTAGCTGAGTGAACCTGGGCAGGGCAGGTCGCTGAACCATTCTTAGCCTCAGTTTCCTCATCTGTAAAATGGGGATAATAATAGCACCTCCCTAGTGGCTTCTGCCCTACCACACCTACTACTAGTGGAAGCTACCTTCCAGAAGATTGCTCTCCTGCCCAAAAGAGCCAAGAACTTTGAGAAGCCCAGGGATGGAGGAAGGTTTGGGAAGGGCGGAGGAGAAGGGGCCCAGGGGAAGATGGGGCTCCAGTCCTCCTTCCAATCCGTGGTGGCAAAGTATAACATTCTTAGAACACTCTAATCTGATGCCACCTTCAAGGACATCATTGTTGACCATATGTCCAGCTGCCTTGTCTCTCAGTCAGATGGGCAGGCTTCTGAGGGCATGGAACATCCCCTCTGCCCCTGCTTCACACTCTTCTAACACCATCTGGGACAGTGCCCATGGAGGTGGTTGGTGAAGGGTCATTGATCATGGTAAAAGGCGTAAGGGCTTTCCAAAGAGGGGCTTCACAGGGGCGGGAATGATAGGGCAGTGCTGCTGTCAGAGCCCCGTGTAATCCATCCTATTTCTTTCTCTCCTCCTCTCTGCTCAGGCAAAGCAGTCCTTAGCCACCCTGACCAAGGACGTCCCCAAGCGGCATTCCCTCGCCATGCCAGGCGAGACGGTTCTCAACGGCAATCAGGAATGGGTGATGCAGGCGGACCTCCCGCTCACTGCGGCCATCCGGCAGAGCCAACAGACGCTCTACCACTCACATCCCCCCCATCCCACAGACCGGCAAGGTGAGTTCCAGCTGGGCCAACAAAGGTAGCTGGCTTTCCATCAAAGGAGAAAGCCGGTTCCTCTGGAAAGTTGTAGACAAAAGCACCAATAGTCTAGCCCTCTGGAGCTCTGGCATTTGAACCCACTGGTGGCCAATGGTCCAAACTCCTGAGCCCATCAGAGGGGTAGTGTGGTGTGGTGGGAAGACTCTTGAGAGGGTAAACATGGGATTGAATCCTGGCTTTGCCCCTCACTGCCTCACCAACCCCAGGTAGATGGCTTTACCTGTCTCAAATTCTTGACATCTTTTGTAAGGGCTTCTTAACCTTGGGGGTCCATGAACTTGGTTTTTAAAAACGTTTTTGATAATTGCACTTCAGTATAATTAATTTCCTTTGTAATGCTCTGCTATTTACTTTATGCATTTAAAAAACATTCTTCTTTAGAGGCATCCAGGTGACTCAATGTATAGAGCCCTGGACTTAGAGCCAGAAGACCTGAGTTCAAATCTTGCCTCAAATAGTTACAGCTGTATGACCTTCGGCAAGTCACTTAACCCTCTTCTACCTTATGTGAAATGAGGATTATAAAAACGTGTACCTCCCGGGGTCACTGTGAAGATAAAATGAGACAATGTCTATGAAGCACTTAGCATAATGTCTGGCACATAGTAGGTGCTTAATAAATGCTTATTTGTTATTTATTCTGAAAAGGGGTCCATAGACTTCTCAGGATACAGAAAAGGTTAAGAACCTGTGTCCTAGATATCCCTAACAGCCCTCCAGTTCTCTGTCTTGAAACCTCAAACCTTGTGTCTGGCAGATTCTGTTCTGCCCCCCTTTTATGGTAATAATAATAATAACGACAACAATAATGTAATCACTGTTATCTGTATAGCTTTTTAAAATTTGCAAAGCCCCTACCTTAGATGGTATCATCGAAGTATCCTAACAGCACCGTGAAGTGAGTGTTATTGTCCTCACTAGGCTGAGGAAGAGGGAGGAAGTAATGTACCCAGTCACTAGTAGCGACAACTAGTGAATATCGTAGGTGGGCTATGACCCCTGATCTTCCTGGTTCCAAGTCTGGTGCTGTATCGACAAGAAACGAAAGAAAGGTTGCCACATCTGAGTGACCGATACAGTAGGACCACATCAGACAGAGGGGGTCTGGGGGAGGTCAGCGGGCCGTCGCTGAAGGCCCAAAGCTACTGTTCTTTCATTTAAGTCAACAGATCAACCCCACAAGCATGGAACGGGGGAGGCATGGCTAGATGGAAATAGCCGAGGGTCCTCGAAAACTTTAAGCACAATAGAAGGCAATTGGATGACATCATCTCAGACTGTATTAATGGAATACAGAATGGAGAAGATAGAGTGTAGCATAGTATAGTACAGGACAGGACAGGGTGTCCCAAAAGTCTTGGTGCAGTTTTAAGCTTTAATAATTTCAAAAGTCTAAATGCTACAACCTTACCCAAAAAAGCCCCATCATTTGAAAGTTTAATTATTTAAGTTTGTTTTCCATTTATTTACTTTTGTGAATTTTGAATGAATACATTTTAAATTTTAACAAGACAGAGCACCTCTTCTGGATGACAGTTTCTCAGACCAGCAAACTGGGAGAAGACAGCTCAGGCATCTGATCCATCTTCAGTAGACTTTTTCTTGGGGGTCACATCAAAACTGTCCTGTATTCATCAAAACCTCAATGCCATCCTTTCAGTCACTGGGCAGCAGCTGATGGGAGTTTTTTTTTTACAAAGTTTGAAAGCTGACTAGTGATGCATAGCACAAAATACATTGAATTTTAATAAGAAAAATACGTCTTTTTACAATTTGCAGCATTTGTACTTCTGAAGTGATTAAAGTTTAAAACCTCCATAAGGCATTTGAGAAAGACAGCTAAGTAGTACAGTAAATAGAATTCTAGTCCTGAAGTCAGGAAGACTTATCTTTGTGAGTTCAAATCTGGCCTCAGACCCTTACTAGCTATGTGACCCTGAGCAAGTCACTTCACCCTGTTTGCTTCAGTTTCCTCATCTGTTTACAAAAAAAAAAAAAAAAAGAATTGGAGAAGGAAATGGTAAACTATTCTAGTATCTTTGCAAAGAAAACCCCAAATGGGGTCACAAAGAGTTGGACACAGCTGAAAAATGACTGAACAACAACGAAGACATTTGAGAAGGACAGGACAGGACAGGTAGACTTCATTGAGATTATTGTGTCCAATTCTGGCCACCACACTCTAGGAGAAGCACTGATGAGCCAGAGAACATTCAGAGGTGGGCGACCAGGATACGAGAGGACTAGAAAACATCGCTATGTGAACATCAGGAAAAGGAACTGCTGAGAAGAGAAAACCGCAAGGCAGAGCAAACACAGGGTTGTACTTGGAGGCAGGAATACCTGGGTTTGAATCCCACCGTCGGCACTATGTAACCCTGGGCAAGCTTCTAGGCCTCTCTGGACTCACTTTCTTCATCTATAAAAATCAGGCAAGTTGGACCTGTTAGTGCCAAACATTCCTTCCCAGCCCCAAATCTATGGCCCGATGTTGGACTGAAGGACATATGAGAGTTCCTTTCAAGAGTTTGAATCTTTGCCACAGGAAGTGGGATGCACCACGTTCCGCCCGGCCCATGTCAGGCACTCAGTACCTGCTTGTTGAATTTAATTGAAGCAATGGGTTCCGCTGGCCAAGAAGACCTTAACACTTCATTGTTCCTACCCTCCCATAGGGCTGTTTTCTCTTTCTTACTGAAACAGATCCCAACCCACGCACACCTTCAGATTCTGGTTTCTTCTCACCCCTGTCTCTCTGAAGATCTCTCAGCAATCCATTAAGTGTGCTAGCAGGGTCCTGTTGATTTTTGTGATATTTGGTGGATTCCAATGAATGCTTCTTGAGGATTTGCTGTGGGTCAGACACTGTCCTTGGTGCTCAAGACACAAAGACAAAAATTAAACCGTCTTTCTCCTCTAGGACCTCACATTTTGTCGGGGAAATAACATGGCCACATTGAAGTGTGTACAGAATACGTTCAAAATAAGTTCAAGACAATTTTGAGGGGGAGAGTTTTCATAGACACTGGTGGAGAAAATACCCAGTCCAACAAGCATTTCTTTAGTTATTTAGTTAGTTATGGTTTTTTGGAAGCAGTCAGGGTTAAGTGACTTGCTCAGGATCACACAGTTAGTAGGTGTCTGAAGCCATATTGGAACTCAGGTCCTCCTAATTCCAGGGCTGGTGCTGTATCCACCGCACCACTAATTGCCCCTGCCAACAAGCATTTATTGTCTACTAAATTACTACCACCACCACGACCAACCACCATAATCACCGTCACTTTACTCCCTACCCTATAGGGCACATGGCACATGGCACATGGCATTTAGTAGATGTGGATGTAAAAATAAAGATTAAAAAGGGCCCCTGCCCTTGAAAGGCTTACATTCTACTCTGGGAAGACAGTACCTACACAGATAAATAAATACACAATTCAATACAAGGTAATTTTTTGGTGCAATGGGGCATTGACAACTGGAGGCATTGGGAGAGACCTCATTTTGGAGGTGAACCTTGAAGGGAGCTAAAGATTCCAAGAGCCCTGAGTGAGGTCCCCCTACAACATGAGGACTTTCCTGATGCCCCCAGCTGATAATGCTCTACTGCACCCAAAAATTGTATGTGTTGCATTCCAGGTGGGGGAAACATCTTGTTCAAAGATCCAGAGATAGGAGGTTGATATCCTGTACAGTAAACACCAAGTTAGTCACTGTGGCTGGAACACAGAGCACCTTAGTGGGGAGTCAGTATGAAAAGATGGGTTGGAGTCAGATTGTGAAGGATTGTAAAGACCAAAAAGAATTGATCAAATCAGCAAGTACATCACTGTGTGCCAGGTGCTATACTAAGTGCTGTGGATACAAAAAGAAATGAAAACATGGTCCCTTCACATTCTAACATGTTATGCTAGAAGGCATAGGGAACTCCTGAAGCTTCTTGAGTTGAGCAGTAACAAAGTCAGATCTTTAGGAATATGAATTTGGTCACTGATTGGAGAATGTGTTGAAGAGGGGAAAGACCTGGAAGCAGGGAGACTGGTAATAAAGTTATCCAGGTGAGAGGAGATAGTGACTGGGGAATCTCAGAGAGATGCCATCTAGTCTGACCTGTGACCTGAACTAGAATTTCTTCTACAATATTGAAAACAAGTAGTCTTCCACTTGAAGACCTTCAATGATGGTGATGATGATAGCTAGCATTCAGATAGCACCTACTGTGTGCCAAACACCATGCTAAGCACTTTACAAAAATCTCGTGTGATGTTCAGGAACTCACCACATCCTCCTGAGACTGTCCCATTCTGCTTTGGGTTAGCTCTTGTTGTTTGGATGTTAGGGGGTTGGGATTTTGTTTGTATTTTTGTTTGCTTTGGACATTGAGGGGGACTGTGTATCTTCTTGAGTATATAGAGGGTCCAGTGTTACCTGTGGCTGTGTGAGGTGTCTGATTTTGATGGATTTCTACAGTTATATTGCTCAAGTTATCAGAGGCAGCTAGGTGGCACCATAGTGCACAGAGCGCTGGGCCTGAAGTCAGGAAGACTCATGTTCCTGAGTTCAAATCTGGCCCCAGTTATTTACTAGCTGTGTGACCCTGGGCAAGTCACTTTACCATGTTTGCCTCAGTTTCCTTATCTGTAAAATGAGCTAGAGAAGGAAATGGCAAACCCCTCTAGTATGTCTGCCAAGAAAACCCCAAATAGGGACACGAAGAGTTGGACACAACTGAAAAATGACTGAACAACAACAAAAGAGTTAGCAGAAGTGGGTGGAGTCCTTGTGCTTCCCCACAATGGGTGGTTTTCAGCGCTTGGTTAAAGCAGAGGAAGGAGCGAGCAAGACCTTAGTGATCTCTAACTTTGTGAACTGTTTCCCAACCATTGGACCTGGACCCCTCAGAGCATCCTAAAGTCAACTCCTCTTTATTGGACATGTGCCATGTGCTCTAGCTGGTAGGGAGTAAAATGATGAAGATTATGGTGGTTGGTCATGGTGGTGCTGGCGATCCATCAGTTGGTTTAAAAAGCATTTATTCAGTGATTGGGATCAGGACACAGCGAAAGGCAAAGCCGGCCCCTGTCTTCAGGGAGCTCCCATTCTAACACTAGCAGCCGAAGGGGCAATATGGTGTGATAGAGTAAAAGCCAACCTCAGAATCAAGAAGACTTGGGTTTAAGTGCTATCTCTGACATATCCTACCTGGGTCACCATGGAAGAGTCACCTAACTTCTCAGGGCCCCAGGTAACCCACTAAGGCTCTAGATTACAGATGAGTTACTGTCTCCCTGCATTGGTAGAAAGAGTTTCCATACTGGGAACCCTACCATGGGGATGAAATCAGGGCAGTAGAATACCAAGTGCTATACTACATAGCCCACAATGCTTAGAGTTTCTCAGTGTGTTCAGAGAAGGAAGAAGGTAGTGGACAGAATTCAAGTCAATTTGGTAAATGTTTCCCAAGGCTGACATGGTGGTAAGAGGGCCCAGCTCATTGTCAGCAGGGTCCTGAGTTCAAACCCCATCTCTTGCTAGTTATGCAACCTTGGTCAAAGTCCCTTCAGCTCTCTGGACCTCAGTTTCCACATCTGTGAAATGAAGATAATTTAATACCTATAGTATGTATCTCACAGGTTCAAGTGAGATCATGGATGTAAAGTACTTTGTAAGTCTTAGAGTCCTACGCTTAAGGCAAGAAATCATCCCTGACCTCACAAAGATGTAAATGGTCTCACTGTGGAACAAGACACAAATATCAATAACTGTAATACCCAGTCATAAGTGATAAGAGAAATTCAAATGTAATAGTAATTACACAATAATTTTGGAGTTAAAAGACCTAAATTTAAATCTTGGGTCTGCCATTTGCTAGCTGTATGATTTTGGGCAAGTCACAAACCTTATGATGTCCCACTTTCCTCATCTGTAAAATAGGAGGGGAGGGCCTATGTGACCTCAAAAATCCCTTCCAGCACTAAGTCTGTAATTCCATGGTCTGATGACTGCTAGCTGAAGGAGGCTAGCCTCTCTAAGGCTCAGTTTCCTCATCAGTAAAATGGGAATAATAATACCTACCTCAAAGGTTCAAATATGCATAAAGCACTTTGAAATTATAAAGTACCATGGAAATGCCCATCATCATCATTACCGTTGTTGTTATTATCATTGTTATTATTAGGGGCATTATCATCATTATTAATATTATCATTATTATCATAATTATTTAATGTGTTTGGGAGTGTTTTAGAAAGCAAAGGGGTGTAAATAAGGTTGGTATGGAAAGAAGAAAAAAAATCACTCCGTGGAGTAGGGGGTGTATGTGGGAAAGGTGAGCCTGGGGAAGCGCTCATTGTTTCCTTCTGTTCCCTTCCTTACTCATTGTTTCCCAATTTCCAGCTGTCAGGGTGAGCCCCTGTCATTCTCGGCAGCCTTCCATCATCTCTGACGCATCTGCGGCCGAAGGAGACCGGTCATCTACGCCAAGTGACATCAACTCCCCTCGTCACCGGACGCACTCCCTCTGCAATGTAAGGCCAATAGGGGTGGGGTTCCTTATCTTCTCTTATCCTTCATGCCACTCCCACTCCAACTGATTCTCTCTTCCCCCCTCTTCCTCAGAGCGGAGCGTGGGTAGGGTGGGCAGAGAGAGAGCACTCGTCCTCCCCTCCTTTCCTCCCTCTTTTGCTTCCTCCATCCCTCCCTTCTTCAGTGAGAACATGCGGGCTTCTGCATTTCACTCCAGGCTGACCCAGTGAAATTGCCCGGCCCCTTTGGCTCATTTGTCTAGCATTTCATATTCCCTTTTTTCTTACTGCAGGAGCATTGGGGTGTGGAACAGTAGAAAAGAATGGAGATTGTTTACTATCACTGCTTCAGGAAGGATAGGGGAATGAAGAACTCTCTAGGATGAGTACCCAAGAGAAAGTCAGGACTTGGCCCTGCCTCTTCATTTTAGCCAGGAGTAAGAAAGTCATTTGCCCGCCTGACCCAGCACCATTGTCCATGTAGCCCTATGGATGGATGGATGGATAGATGGATGGAAAGCATTTATTAAGTTCTTACTGTGTGCCAAGCACTGTGCTAAGTACTAGAGATACAAATATAAAATACAAAGGCAAAGAGAGGTCATGCCTTCAATGAGCTTACATTCCAATAGGGGAAGACATCACACAAAATCCAGTGGTGGCCAGGAAGGCATATCTAGTCTGGAAAGCTACAAGAATAGTGAACATGGGGAAGTAGATTAGTACACTTTTTTCCAGGAGCAATAACAATTGGTTTGATTATGATTACAAAGGACCAGTTTCTAGCTAGGCACAGTTGGCCTCTCAGACATCAGCCCCAAAGGACTAGGGACCTCCTCAGAATATCTTAGTTCTGACTTTAATTCAATTCTGTTCAATAAACATTTGTTAAAAGCTGATTATGTACCAGAGAGTCAGGGTAGCCTGATGTATGCATCAGCCTTGTGAGCCAAGAAGGCCTGGGCTCAAGCCCTGACTGACATATCCTGGTTCTGTGACTCTAGGCAACTTACTGACCCTCTCAATGCCCATTACTTATGAGCATTTAATGGCCCAAGGCCATTATCTAAGATTGTAGGTTATTTAACAACAGAGCTGTCAAACTCCTCCAACCATACCAGATTAAATTGTGATTGGGAAATATTTAACATAGATAATGTTAATTTGTGGTTTTCTAAGTCAATCGGGTCACACAGAAATCTGTTTCTATCTAAGTTTGACACCATCTATTTACAAGAAGCCAATCTGTTGGTAGAAAGAATTTCCACCCTGAGAATTCCCAATCTCTATGAAATCACAAGTCCAGAACAAAATATCAAATTAAATAACTACATCTAAGGCATTGGGCTTGGCGCTAAGAATACAAAGACAAAAGAAAACCAGTCTTTACCCTTGTGGACTTTCCATTCTGCTTGGGAGAATACCATATTTCCATGGATCCATAAGTATGAGAGACTTTGAGGAAGGGGGAACCCATCATCACATGGAGGGATCAAGAAAGGCAGCTTGTAAATGTAAATCCATTATCCAAAACTTTAGCTGAAATGTTTTTAAGCTCTTTCCGTTTTCAGCCTATCCCACCTCTGAACAGTCCTTGAGTTTGGGGGGCCTTGTAAAGGCATAACTGGCCCATGCTGATGTCCCCTGCGGTAGGAGGGCCTTCCAAATTATCTGCCTGTCAGAAACTACTCTCTCTCTCACCCTCATCAGCCCTGTGTTCTCCTAAGATTCCAGATCCTCTCATGTTCTGGCCTCAGCACATCAAGTAAGAAGCCTGTAGGTTTGGGTTGGCACAACCAGAATATTGTTTCTACCTACACGCTGTTCTTGTATTTCATGTCAACTGCCACCAGAGAATAATATTCCCTTAGCTGTGATTTTTTTTTTGGTCCCAAAATCTAGGTTTCCCAAAGGTATAGGAGAGTCTTAGATTATTGTATACATTTCCATATATTGTACAGATGTAGTGACTAGACATATGCCCACCCTAAAAGTCAAAGGATCAAGGTTCTCTGGTCTTGACCCTGCCATTCACTAGCTATGTGATTTGGGGCAAGTTGTTTCATTTTTGTTTGCCTCAGTTTCCTTATATATAAAATGAGAGTCTTAATATCTATCTTCCACGTCCAATCGGGCTGGGATAATAAGTTTAGAAGTACTTTTTAAAATGTTGAGTGTTATACAAATGTATAATAATAATAATAACTTTCCATAGAAAAATCTCTCTTTGTTGAAACCACCTGGCCCAAATCAGATGCCTCATTGAAGTCTGAAGATGAACCTGAGGTCTAAAAGGTTCAGCCATGCCAGCTGAACACATGCCCAGGCAGGCTCCTAGGCTAAATTGGAAGAGATTAGATTTGGAGGTTTAGTGGTGATCTGTGCCTGCCATCTAAGGATCAATCTGGCTAAGTTCAGAGAGGTTTATCACCAGATGACTGGCCACCTAGTGAAGGATTTTCCCAGCCCCAGTAGCTCCTGAGGTCTCTAATAAGATGTGGTGGGCATTGCAATCTCCATTAGTGGTAGGGCCTCCCGCTCCCCCCCCCCCAAAAAAAAATCACCACCACACGCACACTGATGAAATCATGGAATCTGGATAGACTGAAATGAGTCCAGGGAAGCCTAGCAATTAACAATCTCTAATTGCTACATCAGGATGCCATTTTGGGTGGACACTTAGGTAGAAGCTTTGAAACATGAAATTGTTGGTGTTTTTCTTTAAATCTCATTGAAAGTTTGAATGGTTTATATTGGTGAGCTGAGGGCTTGTATCTAAGGCCCCTCCATCTACCCCAGGAATTGTGAGCTATTCTTTTGTGTGTATGTATACACGCACACACATGCGCGCGCGCACACACACACACACGTATATATACATATATGTATATAGTATATATATAATATGTGTATACATATACACATATGCATGTATGTGTGTATATATAAACATATATGTGTGTATGTAGTATTATATTTTTCCCGTTACATGTAAAAACAATTTTTTGCATTTATTTTTTAACTTTGAGTTCTAAATTCTCTCCCTTTCTTCCTCCCAACCCCCCTCCTTGAGAAGGCAAGCAATTCAATATAGGTTATACGTGTGTAGTCATGTAAAACATATCCATAATAGTCATGTTGTGAAAGAAAACATAGACCCCCCCCCCAAAAAAAAAGCTCAAGAAAAAGAAAGTAAAAAAAAAAAAACCTCATTCTGTATTCAGACACCATCAGTTCTTTCTCTGGGGATGGATCTCATTCTTCATCAAAAGTCCTTCAGAGTTGTCTTGGATCATTGTATTGCTGAGAATAGCTAAGTCGTTCACAGCTGATCATCTTACAATATTGCTGGTACTTTGTACATTTCACTTTGCATCATCCCATGCAAGTCTTTCCATGTTTTTCTGATCATTTTCCATCATTTCTTATAGTACCGTAGTATTCCATCATAATTACATACCACAACTTGTTTAGCCATTCCCCAGTTGATGGGCATCCCCTCAATTTCTAATTCTTTGCCCCCAGAAAAGAGCTATTAAAAATATTTGTGGACATACAGGTCCTTTTCCATTTTGGTTTCCGTCTCTTTTGGGATACAGACCTAGTAGTGGTATTGCTAGGTCAAAGGGTATGCATGGTTTTATAGCCCTTTGGGCATAGTTCCAAATTGCTCTACAGAATAGTTGAATTAGTTCACAACTCCACCATCAGTGAGCTGTTCTTTAAAGAAGCCTGATGACATCCTCTCTATCTCAGAATAGTGTCTCTAGAGTAAGAGGGTTTGGGTTTGGGTTTGGGTTTGGGTTTGAATCTCACCTCTGACACATACTAGCTATGTATGAGTCATGGGTTTTCCATGTGTGGCCTTGCTCTGTAAAATGAAAGATTCACTCAGTTGTCTCCAATGTCCTTTCCACTCTGGGCAGTCATCAAGGGTTTATTAAACTCTTATTGTAAACTGGGTACTGTGTTAAGGTCTGGAGATTCAAAGAAAGGCAAAAATATGGTCCCTGCCCTCAAGGGATTCCCATTCTGCTAGGAAAGACAACTTTCAAACCACTATATACATACAAAGTATATAAAGTTATAAAGTATAAATGAAAGATAACTCAAAGGGAAAGGTCTAGCAAATGAGGAGGCTGGGAGTGGGGGCTGGGGCAGGTTTGCCATGGGGGAAAGATCTCCTATAGAAGGTAGAAATTGAACTTAGTCTTGAAGGAAGCCAGAGAAGATAAGAGATGGCAACGAGAAGGACGAATAGGGCACAGCCAATGCAAATGCGTGGAGGTGAGAGATAGGATGTCCTGTGTGAGCAGCAGAAAGGAGGCTAGTATAGCTGGATCATAGAGTACATAGAGAGAAGTAAAATGTGAGCAGTAGGGAAGATTGGGGAGGTGGAAAGGGTCCAGGCTATAGATGGATTAGCTTATATATACATGGATTCTTAGCCTAGCCCAGCCCACTGAAGGTATGCAGGGCAGCTGTCAAGATAATCACCTATGTCTTTAGAAGTAATGGGGCTCCCCCTTCGTTGGCGGGCTTCAAGCAAAAGCTCTAGGACTACTTTTGGACATGCAAAGATGGCTTTTGAGGTGTCTTGATGACTATTGAAGTATTCTCTGATTCTAATGGTGGGAGCAGGGGGAGATGGAATGTTTTCTTATAGGATCTATAGTCTCTGTAGACAGCCCTTGGTCATGGGGGTCTGTGATTATGTTACATCCATCAACTGAATCTCTCTCTTTGTGCTGGTAGGGGGACAGTCCCGGACCCGTACAGAAGAATTTACACAACCCGATTGTACAGGTAGGCTGCAGTTCCTCTAATTAGCTGTGCCCTCTTTGACGCAATGCCCCAAAACCTTACCTCATGGGACCTCTTTACCAGAGGACCTCTCATCTCTTTCACCTTCACAACACACCTGTAAGGTCCCACTTTCCATCTTTGCAGATGGAGGCAGCAGAGATTAAGCAGCAGGGGACATGGGAAAAGACTGGAGGACCTGGGTTTAAATTCTCCTTCTGATGCTTACATCTTGTGTGACTGTGGATAACTTACTGGGCTTCTGTTTCCTCTTTAAAATAAAGGCATTGAACTAAATGACCTCAGAAGTCCCTTCTGGCTCTAAATCTCTTACCCTATGATTGAGAAGACTGATAATGTCAAGTAAAAAAAAAATTGTTCAGCACCTTCTCTGTGTTAGGCACTGTGTTAAGGCTGAAGATATACAGAAAGGCAAAAAATTATCCCTGCCCTCAAGAAGCTTACAGTCTAATGAAACACCAGGCAAGCAAGCTATAAATGGGATAAATTGGAGCTGATCAATAGAAGGAAGGCACTAGAATTAAGGGCAATGGGGAAAGGCTTTCTGTAAAAGGTGAGATTAAAATAACAGTTCACATTTATATACACTGTCTTGAGGTTTTCAAAGTGTTTTCCTCATGACAACATCTGTGTGAAACAGATGGCGCAAGGGTGATTATTTCTCCCATTTGACCAGTGAGTAAATAAGGTCCTCGAGAGTTTGAGTCTTGTTCGAGGTCACACAGCTACTCAGCACTTGAGGCAGAATTTGAACCCAGGTCTCCAAGTGTAGCATCCCTGCTTGCCCTTCTACCACGAGGCCATTTGGGGCTGAAGAGTGAGGAAGTACATGAACTTCCTCTCCATTCTAGGTCCTCCCTTGGAACTCAGCTATGGTCACCCATTCCCAGGCCAATTCTTCGACCTTATGGAATCATGGGATTGTGGGGCCAATCCACTCATTTCCTAAAGGAGGAAACGGAGGCCCAGAGCCAAAGAAAGCCTTGCCCAATATCCACAGGAAATAAGAAACCGAGTCAGGATTCAGCCTGGGAACCACACAGCATAGCAGAGCCACTGGTGACTCTGAAGTCTGAAAATGTGACTTTGAATTTCAGCTCTCCCATATATTACCTGGTGATCTCAGGCAGGTCACTTTAGCAAGCATTTATGAAGCGCCTTCTATGTATCAAGTTCTGTGCTAAGTGCCAAAGATACAAAGAAAGGGAAAAAACAGTCCCTAGTCTCGATGAGCTCCAGATCTAGTAGGGGAGACATCATGCAAATAGCCATGTGCGTGTAAGCTGTATACAGGATAAATTGGAGATGATCACTAGGGAGGGCACTTGAGCAAAGGATGCTTAACCTCTCTGGGCCTCAGTTTCCTCATCTGTAAAATGAGAGGGTTGTACTAGATCACCCCTAAGGTCCCTTCCTGCTCTGGATCCAGGATCTTGGGATTTTCTCTGACTTTAAAACCCGTGGAATGGGCTTCCTCAAGAAGGAATAGGCTCCCCGCCATTGGAGGTCTTTGAGTGAAAGCTGGATGATGCTTGCTGGACCAGATGGCCCCCAAGGTCTTTTGCACCTCTGCCATCAAGGGCTTCTGTACAAGTCGAAATCACCCATGTATATTCAAGTGTGCCTTACTTGGGTGATTCAGAAAGTTTTTGGAAAGCCTGAGAAAATGAAATCAGTCATCATTTCGTAGGGTCCGTGGAGCTGGAAGTAGCCTCGGAGATAATCTAGGCCAGTCACCTTGTTTTAGACCTATTTCTTATTGCTTCACCTTACAACCGTAGATAGAGAGGACAGCCTTCCTTTTGGATTGGTCTTCTCTTGGTAGTTGCTGGGTTTTTGTGTGTCCTTCGCTGTTCCAATTCATTAACGATCTGGAAACAAACATTGATATGCACTGGGACTGTGCCACTCAGTGATCACATAACCTTAGATGTCACTTCTGCGGGCCTTAGTTTTCAGACATCTGGGGCTTTGGACTAAGTGGTATCCACGGTCCACTGGCATTTTATAAAGTACTAGACCTTGGAACTAGAGAGACCTGGTTTTGAATCTTGCTCCAGGCACTTACTAGTTGTGTGAACTTAGATAAATCACATCCCCTTCTCAGTCTCATTTCGCTCCTCTGTAAAAAGTAAATCATGCTACACATTTACCTACCCTCAAAGTTATGATGGAGAAAACATTTTCTTTAGTAAATTGTAAAGCACTATAGAAATGTGAGAAGATACAATACTTTTGTTGTTCCATCATTTCAGTCGTGTCCAACTCTTTGTGACCCCATTTGGGGTTTTCTTGGCAAAGATGCTGGAGTGGTTTGCCATCTCTCTTCTCCAGTTCATTTGGCAGATGAGAAAACTGAGGCCAATGGGGAGAAGTGACTTGCCCAGGGTCACACAGCTAATAAGGGTCCAAAGCCAGATTTGAACTCATGAAGATCAGTCTTCCTAATTCCAAGCCCAGCGCTCTATGCATTCTGGTGCCGCCTAATCGTCCTGGGAAGGTATAATAATTATTACCATTATTTCTCTTCTTTGATTTCTGGGTCTGGAATCACTATTTTAAAGGACCCCTGAGTTTTCCATCTTGTTCCCGTCCAATATGAGATTCCTTCAAAAGTATGGCGACGCAGTTAACTAATGTCTGCTCCCATAGACAGCTCTGTCACGTCTAACTATGGTTTCCTTCTTCTCTCCTTCCCCTGCTGCCTTTCCCTCGACTTTTTTAGTCACTAGAGGATCTTGAAGACCAAAAAAGGAAAAAGAAGAAAGAGAAGATGGGATTTGGCTCCATCTCCCGGGTCTTTGCCAGAGGGAAGCAGCGGAAATCCCTCGATCCAGGCCTCTTTGATGGTACTGCCCCTGATTATTACATTGAGGAGGATGCGGATTGGTGATAACCCGCCTCCGACTGCTGCCCATGTATGTGTGTGTTCGCGTGCGTGTATGTGCGCCAGGTGCGTCTGTGTGCGTGGGGATGTGTCTAACATCAAGAAAAACAAGAAGTGTGAGCCCCTCCCTCCCCTCCGCCGCCACCTCTGTAACTGATGTATATATTACAAACTGTGTGTGACTATGTTAACTGTTTGTTGTCTTTGGAGCGATGCAAGTGTGTTGTTTTCTGATTTCTTTTTGTTGTCGTTGGTTTCTTTTTTTAATGTTCGGGGCTTTATTTTTTGTTTTGTTTTAATCTTTTTTGTTGTTCATTTGGGGTTTTTCTGGTTTTTTTTATTTTTTTTTTGCACCCCTTCTTTTATGAAACTTGAAGGACTGCTGTGTATTTGTAAATAATGAAAAACCCGTGTGCACCTTGTGCTTGTAAACGTCTCTTGTCCAAACCGCTCTTGCTGGAGCCCAACCTTGTGGTGCGTTCTGATTCTGGTCTGTTTCCCCCCACCCACCCCCGGTGTTAGCGTTGGGGGGAGTGGGGTCCCGAGAGTGTACAGGGCACTCAGTGCCTCGGTCACATTAACAACAAAAATATCAACCGCATCCTGGCAGGGTGTGTTGTCCACAAAGACTAATGAGCCCAGCCAGGTGGCTGTCTTCTTGGCTGGGTTCATAGGAGATTTAAAAAAAAATAGGCTCTTTTTAATGGCCTACCAGTTTTTAAATTTTTTTTTCTTTAAGAAGGAAAAAAAATTATTTCATTTAATTTATTTGCACAAAAGCAGAAAACTTATTCTATCTAAATTATTGCATAAATATTGGAATTTCTATTTTTCCAAGGGGTGGGAGGGAGGCGGGTGTGTTTCTATTGCCTGTATGTTCTATTTCACGCTGCTGCCAAATAGTGATAGCGTTTAAGATGGCCGGAGCCCAGGGAACATGTGATTTCAACCTCTTGTATTTTATCCGGCATTTTTCTGTTCCTCCTCTCATCTCTCTCTGTCTCCTGAACATTCTCTCCAACCTCCTCCCCCACGCTAGACCCACACATAGCCTCAGTCTGGTCTGTCTGTATAAATTCATCCAGGGCATCAAATGCTGATCACAGGGGAGGCCTGGCCACAGTCAAAAAAGATCGTGAGCCAAAGAGATGGGGCAGACAGAGCTCACTACCAGTCTGAGAACCAAGCAGACATTCATGGCATACATCAGCATTGCCAGGGTTGGCCAGGGGGTGAGCTCCCCTCTGCCCCTGAGGGGACCTCAAGTTTCTCTCCATGACCACATCTTCCCTCCGCTCCTTTTTAGTCTGTTCATTGACCCTAGCAGTTCCTTTAAGAGTGGAAGACAGAGTGTCTCCAAAGTCACAGCACCCATCCCAAGGTAATGTTGTGCCAGGTGGATTTCTCCAGCATGGGGGACCCGTTCCATACCAAATGTCTGTCTTTTAGTCCCGTGGCACTTCTCCAAAACTCCCTGGGCCTCTTTCTGTCTTGTCATCCATCCCACACTGCAACAGGTGAGGCTTAGCAACCCAGGTAGGAAAAGCTGTCCGTGAGTGGCCTCTCTCAGAGCTTTTTGTAGGCATTGTCCACACCCCCACCCACCCACCCACCCACCCCCCCGATCACATTTCATAAGCTAAAGGGCTGTGTGCGTTGATGATGGTGGACCAGTGTCGGCCCACCTAAGGTCTCAAAACAGATGGCCAATTTTATTTTTAACTGTGATTTCCCCACCCCAGTCCCCTTCTCCCTCTCTACTAATACAACTCAGAATCAGGGGTATACTGCAGATGACTGTACACTATGCTTCCCGCTGACCATACCATTTAAAGCTCTTTAAACTCAACCATGTACTAAGTTCTAGGAAGCCTGTTTGCTTTAATGACTCCTCTCAGTGTGCCCTCTTTGAAAAGGGATATTTTATCTTCAAACTATAGAGCAAAGCAAACCTTGGCATGACAAGATAGCTTCTGGATTTCTTTTGGATGGGACGAGCAGTTTGGGGAAAGGGAAGGGTGGGAAACCCCCCGGAGTCTCTGGATAGGGACTTCAGACTTGCCCCTGCTTTAACGAAGGGATCGGGCCCGGGTCTGGAAGGAACCTGCCCTTACCAGCATCTGGCACTGTGGAGGAATAGTCTAGAAAACATTTTTTATCCCCCATGAATTTCGTTTCATTTCCTTTCCCCGTTATTTTTTTTTTCCTTAATAGAGAAAACAAAACAGTCTCTCCTGGTAATGAGTTAGTAGTTCCTGTTCATTTCAGTTTTTTTTTTTTTAAATAATTCTAAAAGTTACTAAGAGGATGATTTATTTAAGAGAAGTATGACAAATAGCATATGAGTTATGGGTAACATTAGATAATAATAACCTTTCCTGTGGGAAAGGTTTCTTGAAGGCATGGATGCAAATATAAAAATATTAAAAAAAATCTAAATAAAGGTTATTTTAAAATATGATTGAATTCTATGTCATTTGATTGTTTCGATTTTCCTCCAGGGTGGGGAGCTCAGGGTGTTCTTCCCCTCCCCCTCCCCCCCCACAATGTAGTCTGAACCTTGGAATTCCAGGACTAGATCTGGGAAAGCCAGGCTGAATGTGACCCCATTGGGAAGGGAGCACCCTCCCGAGCTATTTGCTCAGTGGTCATCCAGGTAGAAACCTTCCAGACTAATCCACAGTGGGCTCAGAGCAGACACACACCCCCCCAATTAAAGAGAGCAAGCTCTAATCTCTGCCAGTCTAACTTGACCAAGCAGTGCTGGTGGTCTAGTGGGAAGAGCCCTGACTCCAGAGTCTTGGGGGCTAGGTTTGAATACAAGCTCTGACACTTAGAAGCCATGTGACCTTGGGCGAGTCTCTTAATTTCATATTCCCTATCTGTAAAATGAGGGAGTTGGACCTAGATGGTTTTGTCTAAAGGCCCTTCCAGCCCCAAACACTTAGCAGTGTGAGGGCTATCAAATTCTGATGCCCGTAAGGCCTGAGCTGCCCTTTGTATCCTCGTGAAGTCCACGTGGGGCGCAAACAGTTCCAAAGAATCAGAGTTCCACGAGAATCAGGGTATGGCGTAAACATCTCATCATGGGCTGCTTCCAGAAGCCTTCGAGGCAGGGATTCAAACCCAGGCTTTTCCTGACCCTCAGTCTGGCTCTCCTCCCATCACACCACTTTGCCTTGAGGAAGCCCAACACAATAGAAAAGATCACTGGATTTGAAGTCAGGGACCCAGGATTCGAATCCTGCCTCTGCCGCTTGATACTGTATGAACCTAGGACAAGTCACTTCATTCCTTTACCTCAGTTTCCTCATCTGTAAAATTTGGATGATAGATTTTGGAATGGACCCCCACGGCTGTAACTGGTCAAAGCTGACCAGGCCAGTCTGTGAGCTTAGGTTCAAGATTATAAGATTATAATGAAATGAATCTATCCATCAGCAGCAGAGGATTTACCTGACCAGGACAAGGAGAGCCTGTTCAGTGAGGCTCAGTTGATCTGGCCAGTCTGTGTGTGTCAGGTGCTTCCTTAGGGCTTTTCTTTACGTGGGCAATTCCCAAGCTCTGACCTAAGTCTTCATGCCCTGAGCCAAATGAGTCTTGAGCACAGTTTAAAAGCCTTTGAAAGAAAAGAACTGGGGCAGCTAGGTGGCGCAGTGGATAGAGCACCGGCCCTGAAGTCAGGAGGACCTGAGTTCAAATTCAGCCTCAGACCAAACACTTGGCACTAGCTGTGTGATCCTGGGCAAATCACTTAACCCCAATTGCCTAAAATAAAAAAAAAAAAGAAAAGAACTAGCCTGTCTCCCATAGCAGGGGACTTTTATTATATGGAGAAGGAAAATCAGGGAAATCATGAACTTTTCTTAAGATCACCGAGGTAATAAGTGGTCAAGGCAGGATTTGAACCCACATCCTCTCGATCCAAGACCAGCCCTTTTTCTGTAGCATTGGCCTCTAAGGTCCCTTCTAGTTCTAAATTTAGGAAAGTGTTATTAACTAGATAATAATAATAATATATAATACTTTAAGTTTTTAAAAGTGCTTTATGTACATTTTCTCTTTTGGTCCTCCCCTGTGAGGGGAGGTACTGATATTATCTCCACTTTAAAGATGGAGACACTGAGGCTTATGAAGGTGAAGTCCAAGATCGCCCAGGTAATGCGTGTCTGAGACAGAATTTGAACCCAAGTTTTCCTAATGCTAAGTGTACGCTATGGGGGAGGGGGCAGTAAATGAGTAACCCTTTGTTGAGGGACTCATCCCAACATCCTCCTTCCCAGCCCCCCCCCCCCCCCCGGAAAAAGGAATAGATTATGTCTTCCTAGAACTAGCAGAATATCAGATTCCCAAGCAAGAGGAATCCACTCATTCCATCCCATAGCCTAGCCTCAATCCGTCTGGTTGGGAGTGGGGATGGGGAGGGTTGGAATCATCACAATGGAGAGTGCTTCTGCTTGGATGGGTCTTTTTAACCTCTCTGTGCCTCAGTTTCCCCTTCTGACTAGATCTGTAGATACCTTTGAATCTATGATCCTGTGAACATGTAGGGTCTCTCAGGCCATCTCTAATCTAAGTAGCCCATCTAGCCACATCCCAGGATGTGGGGGCTCCGAACGATTGAGCAGTGACAAGCCACGGGTCTGGAAGGCATTCCTCCTGCTGTGTTGGACACGTGACAATCATCTTTTGAGAGCCCTCGGCCCTGGGACGCCTCAATTCCCACAGGGGAGCTGCCCTTTCCCACTCTCTGAGGCCATATTAGAACATTGGACTTATTGTCAGGAAGACTTGAATTCAAATCCTGCCTCAGACACATAATATTAACAATAACAACAACAATAGTAGTAGCCAGCACTTTAAAGTTTGCAAAGGACTTTACAAATATTATCTCATTTGATTCTGGGAGGTTGGTGCTATTGTTATCCCCATTTTACAGATGAGGAAACTGAGGGAGACAAG